GCTAAGTAAGCCAATCCCAAAAACAAATACTGGATGTTTCCTCTGATATAAGGAGACTCATTCATAGTGCGGTTGGGAGAGGGAGCATGGGAAGATTAGATGAACTCTAGATAGGAGAAAGGAGTGGGAGGGAAGGGAGAGGGCATAGGGGTAGAAAAAAAGGTGGAATGAGATGGACATCATTACCCTAAGTACATGTATGAAGACACAAATGGAGTGAATATACTTTGTATACAAAATTGTGATGTGAAAAATTGTGCTCTCTATGTGTAATATGAATTGTAATGCATTCTGCTGTCATATATAACAAATTAGAATAAAAAATAAATTAAAAAAATATTCTACCACCCTGTGATTTCCCTGTGTATCTTGATTTGTGCAAGTGCCCTCTCTGATGTTCACATATCAAAATCACCTAACGACACACTTCTTGGAAGGTAAATTTAAACACAGAAAGAATTCAGGAAGATAGTGAGTCAAGAATTCCTCAGGCAATGGCCACAGGAGACCAGACAGTCACTCCAGACAAAGGCCACCGGGAACCCCTGAGGAGGCAGGAGATAAACTCCAGGACTAGGCCACTCTGGATTCTCTGAGATGCAAGTTCTGGATGCCACAAATTAGACAAGGAGATGTACTGAAACTTTTCAGTGTCTCCTTTAAAACATTTAGACTTTTTGTTTGTTTACAAAAATGAAAAGTGAATTAAAGTGGACATATGGGATCTGTGGATATTCTGTCTAGATTGCTTTCAGTATTTAGATTTCATATGGTTTTGTGTTCCTCTTAATTTCATATCCCACTGTCTTTCTTTTATCTCTCCCCCATGTCATCTCATCCCCATCCTTCCTCTCTCTGCCTCCTTCCCCTTTCACTCTCAGGGTTGTCCTGTGACTTTGGGTGGGAGAGTTGGAACATACTGGAGGAGTTTGGTGTCTGCCTGTTTGTGAGGTGGTTAGAGCAAAAATCCTGTGACATCTGAACCTAGACTGGTATGTGTTTCCATACACTTTTTCTCTCTTCTCCAACCGTCGTTATCTGATCAAGTTTGGTTTGACCATGTTTGGATGTAAAAAAGAGAAATTAATGATGTGGGAAATACTCATAATATGACAAGTAAAGACAAAGCAAGTAGAACTGCTAGAATGAATCTGAAGATGATGCTGAAACAAAAACCAAAAAATATAAAAAGAAATAATAAAAAAGTAATGAAGACTTACCCTGATACTAGAGATGACACATGGCATAATTATAATTATTAACGTGGTGCTGGCCAAAGAATGTACATTAATTTAAAAAGAAGAAAGTACAGAAGCAGACTCAATTCAGTATATAAAGTCCCATTCAAAGTCAGCAAAAAAAAAAAAAAAAAAAAAAAAAAAATGGCTTATCCATGAAATGGTGATCGTTCAGACAATAATAAATTTTAGAAATGAAACCATGGCAGTATGGGGGAAAAGTATGGGTGAACATTTATGTAACCTTTGGAGAAAAGAGTTTCTTGAGAATCACCATCAAGGACAGAATCTAAATGAAATGAAAAGCATCGACACATTTAACTAAAAAATGTCTGCATCAGAAACACAATACAGGCAAGGCAAAACAAAAAGCAAAGTATTAGCTATTCTCATGAACAAGAGTGGCCCAATACATACAAGAATGTGTTCAACAAGGAGCATCAATCCTGTGCGTTCCTGGTACTCAATAATACATACGAAGCTCTCATTGAGCAGGAGAAAAAGGGGATGATCTCAGTAGGAAACAGAGCCAAGCACACGAATTACAGTACATCAACCAAGGAGAAATGCAATGTCCTAGTACCAGCAGTCCAGCTGTGGGATGAGATGCAAGTTTTGGTCCATCTAATGGGTGGGACAGTTCTAGTATAGTCACCATTTAATCTTGCCCTTTCCCCACTCCTTTCTCCCTCCTCTCCCCTTTCTTTCTGCTGCATAATAAAGACCACATTTCAAATCAGTGGGGGATAATACTCTTTAATACACAGCATCGATAGAATCAGCTATTTGTGGATAAAATAAATAAAACCAAGTCTCTGCTGTACATTACATTCCAGATGAATAAAAAATCTAACCCTTCAACATAAAAAAAAAATGTAAATGATCAGGAAAAGTCTAAGAAAATATCATTATGATCCCAGGCAAGGGGAGATCTTAAATAAATCATAGAAAGCAAAACTCACTCAGTAAAGGCTGAAAAATTTAAGTTAGTCAATGAATGTCATCTACGTTGACAACCAAAGACTATATAAGAAAATATCCCAAATAATATTAACGACAAGCTGAAGATTGGGAGAAATATTTGCAATGTATGCAACAAGAAAAAAATGAGTATAACAGATACATAAAAAAATACCCTTTAGAAAAATGAACTAAGGATATGAAGAGGTAATTCACAAATGGGGGAAATACATATGTCACAAACATACAAGAATATGTTCAACAAGGAGAGGCAATCCTGTGGGTTCCTGGTAATCAATAATAATAATAATAAAAGAATATGCTCAAATACATTTTTATCAGGCAAGTACCAAGGCAAGGAGGATACACCATTTATACTCACTGTACTGGTCGTGTAGAAAGATCTGGGAGGTGAAAGATGTTTGGATTGCGGAAAATGGCAGTTTTCATACTTTGGTTGCATACTTAAAATGGTGACTGTGATTTGGGCCTAGCTCTCACCTACAATATCCTCTTGTAGGAATTTAGAGTAGAGAAACACAGGGAAACATATATAAGATATTTATTGCTCCATTGTTTGTGGTGGAAAAATAATCTAACCATCCTGTGTCTACTCAAAGGGGAGAGGTCGAGTAAAATATGGCTCCTCTATATAATGGAATACCACTTAACACACAAAAGACATTATATATCATTATTTATTTATATGTAAAATTATATGCATTCTATACATATGTAATTCTGGCAGGAAACATCCCAACTCCCCAGAGTGAATGGTCACAGGATGAGAGGAGGGCTTGGGATTCTAGAAGTAAACAATAGGTATTTTGGGATCTCTCACTCAATTAGAAATGACTTGAAATATAAAAGATTGAAAGGATGCATGTCTACAGCTGTGTGGAAATGAAATTGTCAGTGATTTTTACTGTGTTCTTTTTTCTTACTAGCATTTCCTGCAATTTCCACAATGCCTGTCACATTTATAATAATAATTTTTTAAATAGGGTTTTTGAAGGAGTGCCAGAAGTTTCAAAGATTCTCAAAAAGTGAGTTTGAGGTGACCTTAACTATACTACTGCCCCACCCTACCGCTTAGGTTTACAGCACTGTGTTTGGGAAGGGTGGAAGGTTTTATTGCAAAATTAGATAAGTCCCCAGTGTGTGGAATTGCAGGAAAAACGGTCCCAAGATTCATTTAGCCAGTGTTGGATCAGGCCTGCTAGGTAAATGTTCCACCTTGCTCACCCCTGGTCTATTAACCAGCACACTCCAAAGATTCAGATTTATGGACTTATAATAAATATTTAACTGCAGCTCAGCGTACTACTTTCCGGAAATGAATCTTCTCGGATGGTGGAGTGTTTGTCCTTTAATCTCTTATTTGTTTTTTACATTGCAATGCTTTCGAGTAGAAATATTTCTAGAATATTTTGTCTTCTTTCCCTCCTTCCTAACCAGAACGCAGAAGACCCACACTTTGCCATTTCTAAAGGCTGTGGTCAGTACCTGCCTACCTCACCTCCTTCCTTTTACTCCACCAGGGGTTTAAAAGTTAACTTTTGGAAATCGTTTGTGAAATAACCAGTAGGGAGGCTTGTACCAGAGGATGCCCGAATATAAAAAGAACAAGGCATCTATTTTTGGCTTTCACAACCTTTTTCTTTTATTGACTGCTTTGTGGTTTCTGGTGGTCTTTGAAGCTGTTCTGGGAGGTGGCGAAGGTAGTAAAGCGTGGCTTTGCTTCTCTTACACGGTGGCCTCTCCAAGGCCAAAGGTTTTTGCCATTGGCACAGAGCTCTGGCTACATGCGGAGCTGCCAACAGATGGAATGTGTGAGTATTCCTAAACTGGAGGCAGGCAGGACCTGCTCTGACACTGGTCAGTTTTGGGCAGGAGTTTCTCAACCATTAGTAGCCACAGTAAGTCAGTGTAGACATCCAGCTGCCAGAGCAGCCCAGGAAGGTTCGCTCAGGGCCTGGGCGACAATCTTAGGTGTAGTATTTGCAAAGCAGGAAGAAGGGAAGGGAGAGTGTAAAACTAAGCAGCGAAGTTCAGAAATAAGGACTTTTAAAATGTACATGTCCCGGTCCTTCACCCTTCTTCATACCCTAATAACCAGGCAGTCACCCAAGGGGGAGCTGATTCATGGCTGATTCTGAGCCCCTGAGCCCAGAGGCCTCGGGGTGGTGGTGACCAGATCAAATGAAAACACAAAAGACAAAAGTTCCAAATTCCTCTCAGGAGGGGTCTCACCCTAGAGCACAGGCCCTGTGCAGTTACTCCTATGACAAGCTCGTGCCACAAGAACTCCTAACAGAAGGCTAGAGTAGAGGTGGAGTGGGGCTGCTCCTCCCTGGCAGTTGATGGCTCGGGAGCTGGGGTTTTGGCTGAAGCAATGGTAGGGAAGGAGACTCTAGGACAAAGCATGGCAGTCAGCAGGGATGGGCTTCCCGGGTCTGAGCTTTTCCATCTTTCTGCACCTCAATGTCCCCACAATAAATAGGGAGTGCTGCCCCTTTTCCTGCTTGAAGTCTAGCCTTACAATGGTGAAAATAAATAATGCCCCTGGAAGGACTTCGAGTTATCTGGGGGGGGCGGGGGTTGTGTTGGGTTAGCACAGCATTAACTCTCCTCAAAGGCCTAATTCCAAATGAGTAAATTGGCTCAACTGATCCTCTTTAGAGTGTAGCTCAGTAGGAGATTGGAAACACCCACAGCTCTGCGACAGTGTTGTGAATGTGTCTGATTTCCGGAATATTGGTCCTGGAAAAGGTCTTAAGGGTCAATTCTCTTATTTTACAGACACAGAGATGGAGGTCCCAGAGAAATGGAGGCACCTGTCCAAGATCACACAGCTATAGCCAGTTCAGGCCTTCAGCTCGTAAGCCCAGTACCTCCTCCACAGACTTTCTCAAAATGGGGTCCTCTGATACTGTCTTTGAGAATCACTTGGCATGTGTCACAGGAGTGCAGGGGGATGGTGGTGATGGTATGGTGATGTCTAAAAGCAAATTCCTGGATCTTACCCCAGACCTAAAGAATCAGAATCTCTGGGAGTGGCACCAGAGGATCTATATATGCACATCCAGTTTTATATACCAGGGGGATCTATATATATACCAGGGGATCTATATATGTGCATCTCTTACATGGTGGCCTCTCCAAGGCCAAAGGTTTTGCCATTGGCACAGAGCTCTGGCAACCCTGCTTTATTTCAGTTCTAAATGATCTAGGCAGAGTAGCTGCTATGGATAACATGTCTCTAGAGAAATAACAAGAACAGATTTCACTCGTTGCCACTGAGCAATGCCATGCCTGCAGTTAGCTACAGTGCCTGATGAGGAGCTAAATATCCTTAAGCTAGAGTCGTAGGTTGAATGTCTGGACAATCAAAGCACATTCCAAAAACAAACTTCCCCTTGTTACCCCTTTTTAAGTTTTTCTTCCTCTGGTTCTAGGATGGGTGTGTTCCTGCTATGAGCCCCTCCTAGCTTATCCTACCATACCCACCACCTCTCTGAAATCTTGCTTCATACACGTGTCTGGGGCTTGGGAGCAGATAGTTTCTGATAGGAGCTTGAACCCACCCTCCCCTAATCAACCAGAAAGGACTTGGCAAGCCCATGGGAGATAAATGTGGACTACTCGCCCTGGAGGAGCCTCTTGGGTGGTTAACTATATGACTTGTGAACGTGTGGCAGACAGGCCCACGCGTTCCAAACTAGCTCAGCTGGGCTGGATACTTCTAGGCAGAATTAAGCTGAAAAAAAAAATATGTAGGTCTAGCTGGGTTCCTGTTACTTCACAATAGCTGTAGCCTTGGGAGAATTTGACTCTGGGGCTCCAGTACACCTGATATTCCCACCTGCCTCTCAGCATTTCCTCATCTGTCTGCAGATGGCCCGGCTACAGTTCCCAATCCAGACAGCATTCAGCAAAGACCAAGCCAGACTTTAAGAAGGCCCATAGCAGAAACCACTCGCTCAAGACATCTCTTGTCTGGACAGACTACAGAAGTGTCCTTCAGCTCACGTCTATTTTTGTTTTTAAAGGTAGTCTTTTGGCCTGAAAAGGGGTCAGAAAGGCCTGCTATTTCAATTTCTCTGAATGTTATTGTTGAAAACAAAAGAGACACCAAAGCAGCAGTGGCCTATTGTCCCCCAAACTCAGGCCCAGGCCTATCACTTGGAAGATGATCAAACATCATTTATCAATGAAGAGGCCCCTCTGTAGGTGTGGCCTTCAGGTGTGGCCCTTCTTGCTAGGTGGCACCTGGGTGACTGGTTACACACAGTCCAGTTATTTCTGAATTCATAAACCTGCTTTGGTGGGTGTCCCAAGAGGACTTTGACTTTCCAGGGTCTGGTTTGTGTTTATCAAACTCACAAGATTCATATGTCAAACTAGAAGGTCAAGCTAGCCATAAATATACAGTGAGAAATAAATGACTGGGCTCCATAGCCAACTCCCATTCCTCTTCTGGAGGATGATCCTTGTGGAAACCAAAGGGTGACCCAGAGGCCACGTGGTGAGCTGGAACCAGGAAACAAGATGAATCTGCCATTTCATGACATCAAGATAAGTAACAGGATTTCATGCAACTGTCCAGCGAGAGGCCCCCGAGCTCCGGGGAGCTGTCAGAGGATGGACCATCAAGGCCTTGCTGGGGCTGCCCCTTTTCCCATCTCTGCAGGAACAGGCACCGCAGAGTCTCCATCTGCAATTCTCCTTTTACTTCCACGCTTCACAACCCTTTGTCTCTAACCTATTCTTCCCCCCTCTGGTTGAAGTATGGCCTCTTGTAGCATTAGCAGTCAGATTTCACTGGCCTGGGCACCCTCCTGGGCCCTGCAGGTGCCTGCACTGTGTGCAGCCTTCACAGTCAGCATGCAGGGGAGAACTGGATTAATTACCCTATTGCAGACAGGGGCACTGTCCTGCAGTCCCCAAGGACCAAAAGAGCAGATTCAAATCACACTTCCGGAAAGGAAGATCAATTTAGGGATCCCGTTCTGCTGATCCCCACCCTCCCGAAACTCTCTTCCACTGTGCCAGGTTGGAAGAGCTCAGGGGGCATTGTTAGAACATCCCCACGTCAGCTTTGAAGGCCATGTCCCAAGAAAACCCCTGAGGGGAACATGCTGTGGGCACAGCTCCAGCCCATCCTGTTAGGAATCATTCCCTCTCCCTTGCTCTGTCACTGTCTGGCCTGGCTGAGGAGGCTCTGATTTGGAAACAGAACTTGGCAGCCTGTGAGATCCCATATGTGGCAGCAGAGAAAATATCAGCAGAAGTCAAGGGGAACACCAAACATGAGGATCCGAAGGGAGTGGCAGCGCCCGGAATGGCATTTGGTGCTTACTAGGCTGAAGTCCTGAAGACCTCATTTCACAAAGAAGGAAACTGAAGTCAGGGGGAGGATGGTTTGCTCTGAGCCTTGCAGGGAGCAGTGGCTGCTTGGGAGGGACTTGCAGGTGATGAGAGTCCCGGCTCTTTGGTTCCAATATCAAGTGATGGCAACTGGATAAGGCAGGAGAGCAGTGGGAGAGGGAGGAAATAAGTGCAAATTATAGAAAAAGAAACCAACCAGCACTGGCTTCCAAGCTTGTCTGGGTCCGTGCTACAACTCCCCCAGCTCCAGCTTCCTTCAGAACACCACCTCCTTTCGCTTTCGTGCTTTCTCAGACTCCTTGAAAAAAAAGTCTGTGGCATTGTTTAGTATGGTAGTCACTGGCTCCGTGTAGCTGTGGCAATGTGAAGAGTCTGGACTGTGAATGTTGACATTCAGGATGAAATACACACCCATTTCAAAGACAGGGATAAAGAATGCAAAACATCCCATCAATAATAACTTTGGATATATTGGGGCAAATAAAATACATTATTATCCCTGCCTTATTTCACTTTTCTTTTTGCATCTTTAATGTGGCTACTAGAATGTTTGAAATGGCACACGTGACTTCAGTACATTTATAGATCATATCAAATACAAAGCCCAGTGCTTATAAAATCAAAATGGGCATTGGTTTCCTGAAAAAGCTGGTGCTGTCAAACCATCATTTACAGCCACCTTCTAAATGAGAGAGCACGGAAGCTTTGACATGGGAAACCAAGAAGAAAATAACAAGGTACCATTCTTGTTAACTAGGAAACGTGACCCTAAAAGGTCAGGAATGGTATGACCAATGTTGGTCGGAGCTTTATGTCTCTCATGAGGCATCCTGGTCATAGTGATGTCCTTAGAAGCTGGGTGTGTGCTTTCTGAGAACAGAGGATGCCCACATGCAGGGCATTTAATGCCCAGAGCAGAAGAAGAAGGAGTGGGATGCAGTGAGGAGTCACCAAGAAGCCCAGCCAGTGTGGGAAGACCTGGGTCCTACCTTGGCTGTACATGACCTTTGTAAGTTATGGAACCTTCTAGGTGTCCTCACTGGTGAAATTGCTCTCTCACTATCTGGCCTGGCTGAGGAGGCTGTGATTTGGAAACAGAACTTGGCAGCCTGTGAGATTCCCATATGTGGCAGCAGAGAAAGCACAGGGTGCTCTCTGGAGTCCTGTCCTTCTTCCTTTAAGTTGGAGGCCTTGAGCAGACTCTCCAAGACCTGTGAGCTTTGTCTGTAAAGGCGGGTGGTGGAGGTGCTGTCTGTGAATGGTGGGCAGTCGGCGAGATTTCCCATGCTTGACAGCTACTGACATAGTGAGCGCTCAGTAAGTGTGGAAAAGAGACAAATGAAAAGAACTGCAAGGACCTTAAGGGTTATCCAGGCCAATTTCCACCTAAATTCCAAAATGTCCCACATTTTCCCCAGCCTCTCTTATTTGCTGCCAGTTGGGAGAAACTTCTTTTCTCAGAGGCAGCTCCTTGCTTGTTTGATAAATGGTCATTCAAATTTTTAACTTTTAAAATTAAAATTTTTATTGCAGTAAAATAACATAAAATGTACTATTTTAACCATTTAAGTGTATAATTCAGTGACACTAAGTACATTCACATTGTTGTGCAACCATCGTCAAAATTTCCCAAACATTTTCTCCAACCCAAATTAAAACTCTGTATCCACTAAATAATAACTCCCCTCTGCCCCTGCTCCCAGTCCTTTTTGACCACAGTCCTTTCTCTGTATGAACTGGATGCCTTTAGGTGCCTCATATAGGTGGAATTGTACAATATTTGTGTTTTATGATTGCCTTTATTCATTTAGCATAAAATCTACCCAGGTTCTTCTGTGTTGTAGCATGTATCAGAATCCCCCCCCCTTTTAAATATTTTTATTTTTATTTTTTAGTTGTAGTTGGACACAATACCTTTATTATTTATTTATTTATTTATTTTTATGTGGTGCTCAGGATCGAACCCAGGGCCTCACCCGTGCTAGGCAAGAGCTCTACCACTGAGCCACAAACCCAGACCCTTCCCCCCCCTTTTTTAAGGCTGGATGACACTCCATTAGATGTATATATCACACTTAGCTTATCCATTCATCTTTCGATGGAGCCTTGGGTTATGAATGTTTCTAACTATTAGTTCCCCTGCATAGTGAACTGAAATCCATCTTCCTGTGACTACACCCATCCCTCAGCTCTGTACTCAGAGCTCCATAGCATCATCAGTCCAGTTCCCAGAGGAATCACTAGGTTTGAAGAGAGCATTTAAATTGCCACACCATTCTTCAAAGGCTCAGAAGTTTCACTGACTATTTCATAATTTCCAGACCATTTGCCATGTGGTTTAGGTCTTTAGACTCGTTTCCGTTGACCAATCCCTTTTTGGAATGCAATCACACTAAACTGAGCTGACCTGAACCCTGCTCTGGGATTACAACCTCTCTTATCTTGACTTTGATAAAACAGTTTAACAATGCATTCCCTTTTTGGCTTCCATATTTCATTGATTCACTCACTGAACAATTTTTATTGGGTGTCTTCTGAAGGAGAGGCAATTCAGTGTAGGAGTTTGGAACTTGACTTCTGGACCCAGCTTCCTAGGTCACGGTATATGATCTGCCCCTTACTATGTGTCAGGGTGCACATTTCTTGTTTCTTAGGGCCTCGGGTGCCTTACCTATAAAATAAGGAACATTAGAGTATCTACCTCATGGGGTTACTATGAGGACTGAATGAACTGATGCATGTAAAATGTAGGGAGAGTGTTTGGTAGTCAATAAATGTGTCATTTCTCTGACCTGGGCCCTTCCCCGGGTGCTAGGGGTGCAGCAGTCGGCCAGGCTGACCAGCTGCAGCCTGTGTGTGGTTTTCAGTCTAGTGAAATGGTCAGAAAGCAAACCACTGCTTGACAACAAGGATTTATTTGTGGGCAAATGTGTAATTAAAAGACATGTTTTCATGGAGAAATAAACCTCAGTTAATTGCACTACAGTGTGTATTTGTGATCCGGGAGCACAAAAGTGCAGCGTCTCACTCACTCTAATTTATTCACTCATTCATTTATTAAAAATAAATCCTTCTTAGTTTCCAACCATGTAAAGATTCTGGGACATATCAGTGAACAAAACAAAGATCTTTTTCCTGAGAAACATATATTTTATTATGGGAGGGGGACTGGACAATAAACAGACATGCATAATAGATAGCCAAATTCAATTATGCATCAATAAAAGGGGAAACCATATTGTCTTTTGGGAGGTAATGTTTTGAAGGACAAGCCTGCTTGCTTCTCCTGGATGGGATATTCTGTGCTAATGAAGGGACTTAGGGATGACTCTTAGGGCTTTTCCTTGAGCACCAGAAACAAACCTGCAAGGTCAGAAAGGCTTCCCAGAGGAGGTTGCATCTACATGGGGCCTGGAATGATGAATAGCAGCTAACCAGGTGAAGAGAGCCAGGAAAAGTGTTCTGGGAGCTGGACCTTGTACAAGCTTGCAGGCATTAGCAGCATTACAGGAAGTCCCTCCAGTACAGGGTGCTTCCCCCTGGACAGTGCATCCCTCATGTTTAGGATGCAGGGGGAAAATCTCTTATTTTTATAGGTTTCAAAATAATCTTAGCTGGACACAGTGGTGCATGCCTGTAATTCTAGCAGCTCAGGAGGCTGAGACAAGAGGATTATGAGTTCAAAGCCTGTCTCTACATAAAATATGAAAAGAGCCAGGGATGTGGCTCAGTGGTTAAGTACCCCTGGGTCCAATCCCCAGTAACCTCCCCCATAAATAATAAATAAATAATAATCATCTTGATTTTAGCATTCTAAGAAGCAAGTCCTGCTGGTATTGTGTTCTTCTAAGAGGTTGATAAGTCTGTATGCTACAACTTTATCCAACAGTTGATTTAAAAAAAAGTTTAATTGAACCTGATCAAGGACAGAGACCTTTGTCATACTTTGCTTCCTGCTGATAGTGTCACCATTAATCAACCCTCTTGGGAACAACGACACATTGCTCCAATCATCGGATAGTATTATGGGGCCTGATTTCTCCTTCTTACTCCTTAATAACAGCCCTAAGGAGCAATGAATGAGATAAGATACATGAAAATGTTTGGAAGTTGTCAAAGAGTGATCCAAGTTGCCATTATTTAGTTATGATCCAGTCACCAACTTCTGGGAGTAGAGAGACTAGTGAATATACTGCTGTCCTGGAACAGACGACTGAGGGAAGGTCAGAGGACATCCATCCAGGCTGAAAGAAGGCGCGTGACTTTTATGGATGTGACCAGATGGTGAGAATTCAAATTGGTCTATATATTGAAATCAAGCCTATTAATTTTGCAAGGCACATTCATGCCCCAACTTACATTTATCAAAAACATTTTGATTTTTGGAAAAAAGAACACTTCAAATACAGAACTAACTGCTGATTAAGAGACAAATTTTAGGTGAATATAGCATGCTATGAAAAATGTCCATGCTTACAGTAAGAGCTGAGGAATACTGACAGAGGAAATTGACATTTTTGAGTATACCTACATATGAACATAGACATATAATATGCTAGTATGAATCAGGTAACTTATGTTACTTCGTTTTTCAATTCCTCAGTGTAAGAATTCCTGTGTCCATTTTATAGTTGAGAAACTAAGCTCAGATGATAAGTGATTTTACTAAGGACCTATAACTAGGTAGAAAGGGGGGAAGTTAGGGGTGTTGACTTCAGAGGTCACTGTTCTTACCATGTTCTCCTTCCTCAGTCAATTCAACAGATGTTAATTATATTTTTTCCTCCAAAATATAAAGATATTTCTAGGTTCATGGCTATATATTGGCTTATATAATATATGCTATAAAAGTGTAGAAATCAAAGGTGCCTGGCTCAATGAACTTCTAACACCATGCACACACCTGTGCAAACAGTTTCCAGGTAAGAAACAACACAAATGGGATCCTTTTGCCTCCCTACTACCACAATGGTAATTACTACCTGATTTCCAACACTCACCATTTGCTTTGCCTGTTTTTGAACTTTATTTTTATAGAATTGCCTACTATTTCATGTCTGACTTCCTCAGTCAACATTGTGTTGGTGAGAGTCCCTGATGTTTTTGTCTACAGTGGGGTGTCATTCATTCTTATTGCTACGTAGCATTCCACTGCATGAATACTACAATTTATTGATCCATTCTGCTATGGATGGACATTTGGGTTATTTCCAGCTTGGGGCAATTGTCAATTGTGCTGCCGTGAGCATTTTTTGTGTATGTCTTTTGGCCCACAAAGTATGCACTTTGGCTGGGTGTACGGTAGGACTAGAATTGTGGGGCCGTGGGTCATGTGTTTGTTCAGCTCTAATAAACACTGATAGAGAATCTTTCCAATTGCTTGTATCAGTGTCAATTTTCCAAACCAGACCAAAATTGTTTCTCCTGATTATGTTCACCAACACCCTGATTTTTGATAAAACTTCCTGGGTGGGTAGATTTCTTAGGAAAACCTGCTACCATAGTGC